AAGATTCTTGTGCAATATTTTTTAATTTCATAATTGTGATGATTCAAACTTTGAACTTCATTTAATTTTCAAACTGGTCAATTGAATTTTTTAAATTTATATTGAAATATATGATCTAAGAGGGCTATACTTTCTACAACAAAGTAAGAATCATATTCGATTTCATGGATGAGAATGTAGTCTGTGTGGTTTAATGTAAATAAATAAAGAAATATTCATTGATGGTCGTAGAATTGCAGATTTTAGGGTGACAGACTAAAATCCCCAATTTGATTCAGACGTTTGGAAACTAAATCAAGTTGTTAGCCCTCAGGCGAGGGAGTAGAATTTGTTATCTAATTTCTTCTGACTTAAGAGATTGAAATTCTCCCTGTGGGCTCGATATTTGAGGCTTAATCAAAAAGTCTTATATTACCTGATAACGATACGTATACTTGCATAGTATCACAGTAGTTAAATATAATAATTGAACTTTTATTTGCTTCGAAGTCAAGTTTTTTGGCGTCATTGCAAAGTAAGAAATATATGTAAGGAAAATTGAGAATATAACCACATACTTCGTAGTACTGTCATAAAAAGATTGAGATCACCTATCAAGTAAGCGTGCTAAGTTTACCCGTCGAGTTGGCCTGTTAAGTTAGTAGGTTCCAAGGGATGAGTTTCTGGGGGCAAGTTCCAATGGCTAAGTTCCAAGGAATGAGTTTTGATGGCTAATTCCGAAGCCCAAGTTCTAAGGGTTAAGTTAGTCAAGTTTCAAAAGACGAGCTCTAAGGGTCGTGAGACCCAAAGAATATGACCAGTCAATACTTAACAAATGACACTCCTCATGTTTTGCTTGAATAATTTCATTCTCAAACAAAAGAAAATATCTACTGAATTTGTAATTTATAAAAAGAAAATTTACAGCATTACTTATGTAAAGAATTAACTCACCAAAGAGAGAATAATTAATTTAAATATGAATATTAAAATCTCTCTACAATATGCATCATATAAAAGAATGACAAAAAAAAAGATTCCTGATTTTATTTATAATTCACAAATATAATTTTTAACCAAGTAATTTTGTAAAAATATTTGCAATTTGAAAATTAATTTTAATAAATTTATTGCTAACATCACTTTTAAAAGTAAATAATCCCTAATAAAATTATTTCTAATTTTAATGTGTTTGATTTTTAGTGCTAAATTGAGTTCTTAATTATGTTGATAGCACCTAAATTAAAAATCTTAAAAAATATATGTATTTTACTTTTATCTATAATCTTCTAATTATTACTTTAATTGAAGTATCTACATAGCATAATTACCTACAACAGTACATTTTTACTTAAAGGATAAAATATATAATTCCTTGTCATTTTTTACTTTATCATTTAAAAGTGTGTATGGGAATTGACTACTTTTGACTCTTGCATGGACAGCATTTGAGCTTCCTCACTATTACATTGAAGCTTCTCTTTTGCCTTAGATATTTAGCGTATGTATTACCAATTCTTTTCCATTATGTAGGTAATTTTATGGAACATTTACGTATGGTGCTTCAAAGCTTGTGCAGAAACTTGTACTTCCTGTTGAGTGCTAATGAAGTGATTATGTTCTTCAAGAACACTGTTGATAGGAATGGAAGAGGAGAAAAGTAAGATGTGCATGATTTGATTTTTCTCCATAAAGCAAGTGAAACCAAATCAAGCCTCTTTATTTATAAGAATTGACTAACATATATGTAAGATTTTAATTTAGGCATTGGAGATGTAAATATATAAGAATTGAGTGGGTTCTATGTAAAAAATTAAAGTTTTAATGCTATAAATTTAAATATGTAATAGTTGTGGTATTTAGACAATAGAAGCTATTAAAAAAATCTATAAAATAGTGGTGGTTTAAACCGTCACTAAGAATCGCTAAATATAGTAAGTGTATAAACTGCTACTGTAACAATACTTGTGACAGTTTTAACCGTCACGAAAAACCTTTTTTTAGTGATTTAAACCGCCGTCAAATTTCTGGGTTTTCTTCGGTGGTTTCCAAACCGCTGCAAAAAATTTTTTGAGGTGGAAATCAATAACGACGGTTTTTGCAAGGGTTTTAAACTGCTGCGAAACTTTTTGTTATTTGAAATTGTGTTTGGGTTTTTATACTAAACGCAGGCCGCGGGTTGACCCCCGCGGCTGCCCTGCTGACCGCGTTTCAGGATAACGCACAAGCTGCCCCAAACGGACCCTTAAACTACTACGGTAGTCTTATAGAACCGCTACTAAAAGCATTCTTTATTTCTTACAAGTCATTAGCTAATTAGCATATTATTATCAAATAACTTAAGGGAAATATGCATTCATACCAAAAATTATTTGTTAGACATTTACAGATCTAACACCTAAAGTTTGATATTTACAATTATAACACTGATGTTAAAAACTATGCTGGAAAAGGTGTCTTGCACTTGTAAAAATTTAAAATAATGATAATTTTGATGTAACGTCAAAGATTTGAGTGGAACATATGCAAATAAATGAATTAAGACATTAAATATGTAAATATATATAAATTGGGTACATAAATTCCCCATATATTAATTATTATATTGGAGTTTTTTTGTTTTATAAATTAGCGATCTTATGCAAAACTTAATTAACCTATCAAATATCAACTTTTATTCAGAGTGCAAATTAGCTTATATCCCTCTCTTATGAAAATCTTATGTTAAAATATTATTAATAAATTAGATTAACTTTTTATACATGCATAACACTCAACTTTTATATATTTACACTTCGAATTTTAATTTTTATATATATGCAATTTTATCTAACCATGAAAATATATATATATATATATATATATTATTTTAAAAGTTAACATACTAATATTTTGACATGGAATATGAACATTTTGGATGAGATAAATCTAAAATTCAAAATTTGTGTTAGATATATAAATAATAAGATCTGAGTGATGTGTATGTAAATGCCACTAAAAACATAATACTCGAGTATTTTCTCCCGGGGTGGACCCGGTGCAATATTAAAGCACGTTATAAAAGAATTCATATTTTAGTTATCTAAATCCATCAAAAGGTGTGGCTTCAAGGAGATTTATTCAGTTCAAGTCTCTTCATACAAAGCCTCTCAAGTAATTTTAATGTTTTTAAAATCATATTAATTACTCATAATGGATGAACATTTATGACCAAAACACTCATTTGTACTTTCAAAGAAAATATCATTTTGTAATTGCTCAATAAAGAGGATGATATGTACTCTTTCATTACTAAGCATACGATTAATTAGAAATATACTCAATCTATCAAATCATGCTCAAGTAATCTATTTTATACCATGTATTGTTTCTCTTCTTTTTTTTCAACTTACAATACAAAGGTATTGTAGTAAAAAAAAAAAATTAAATAAATACCACACAATAAACTCTTGATATCCATTTTAAGGATTTAAAAAGCTTATAAGAAGCATAAATAAAAAATAATATCAATGAATACTCTTCCGAAATAAACTATAATTCTAAAATTAGACTCTATTGCAACTAGCGAATCTCTTAAGAAGTCATTTAGTTAATTAATTTAGCCTATTGAATTAATTTTCATCATCTTGGATTGAATCCAAATATGATTGGTTCCATAAGATAGAGATGTTTAAGTTCAAATATTAATGTCAATATTTGAGGAATCATAAACAGTGCATTCTGCATAGCTTTTATACCAAGATACATGAACATCATAACAAAAAAAAGAAAGAGGTGAAATACATGACAATTTTAATAAACCTAATATCAGTATTTATTAATTAGTAATATTACCATGTAAAAGCGATACTAAAATGTAATGTTATAATAAAATTATAAATAGAAATGAGAGTTTAACATCCAAAATAAAAACTAGATGATTAAAATAATAAATATCTTGAATATTATAAGATAAAACAATAATATTATGAAAACTTTAAAAATATGTTCTATTATATTACAGCTGTATTAAATTTCCCAAAATATCCCACGAATACTAATGTAAAAGAGGTTGAGAATCATGTGAGGAAATGTTCAAAAGGCAACTCGCAAATGGTACCTATGAGGATATGAAGAGGTAATTGTTTTCATTCTTCCATCATAACTTTCGTTCAGATAACTGTACTTCAGCAACGGATAATTTATTTATTTTTATAATCTGATGCGAATCAGTAATTTTTTCTTATTAATCATGAGCTGTCTGTATATACATCTGAAGTATTCACTTACCTTTGACCAGCTTTAGTCAGTAAAAAGTGATTCTATATAAGGCTGCATTGCAACAGATAACCAAGGAGAGCTAACAGACAACTGAACGTGTTACATAGCAACAATCTAAATACAGCCAAATAGAGCCACTGGTCACTGTAAGAGGCTTAAAATTGTGAGCTATCACGAGCCAATTTTCATTCCTATAAAATCCTAAACAGTGTGAAGCCAACAAACTTGATATCACAAATTCTACAATTTATAGAGTGAAAAGAACAAAATAAACGAATAGATGAATGTGAAAATATAACTACACTTACACGACAAACTAAATGACAAACTGTACATTTTATAGAAGAAAAAGTTCCAAATTGAAGAATGTAATAAATAACTATAGTTACACATTGAGACAGAAAATCACCCGAGACTTCAATACACATGAAATACAAATTGCTTTCAAACCTCACCAAGCCAATGATAGAATCAGTGGAATCAGACAAATAAAAGAAACCCCGCTTGGACTTACTAGAGCATATAACAATAGGGGTATAATCATATATATGAAAAAACTATGATCAGCAAAGCCCTACTGATCAAAATAAATCATACAAAAAGAAGATCGGTCTACTTTCTTCTCTGTTGGACGTACAGCAATCAACTACTATTTTTCACCATACCATAGTATTAGAGCTGAAGCAACAACAGCATCCATGAATTATGATTGAAGCAACAAAGCAGATGACAAAACCAGGCATGAATTATGATTTCTGGCATTGTGAATCCACTAAATGACATTACTTCCAATGCTCATGCAACGTAGTACTTTGGCAATGAAAACCAAACGTGGGAATCTTATGAACCACCTCTACACTTGGTATCTTGATAGGCTTTGTGCCACATGAGGCTCTATGTTGGTGAGGAACTGTTCCCATGCTCCACTTCCAAGCATCTATAACAACAAATATGCAATAGAGAGGGTAAAGCTAGAATCAAATTTTATTCCTTTAGTTTGCTGGACTTGCCAAAAAAGCTCAAGAGTACCTGTTTATATCCATTTAAGACTTGGGATATTTCATTGACTAAGTCATTGCTCCTAATTTCCTGAAAGGATTTTTATTAAATTTAATTGAACTGACTTGCATAAATCAAAGCGCTGAGTTAAATTTCAACGATTACATCTTACATGCCAACTAGCAATAGCCCTGCACATGTAAGCTAGCGAGTTCACAGCGCCATGAGGATTTGTTCTCACCTAAGGAATTTTGATAAGAGAAATGTCAACGGGTGAAGGAAATGTCTAGTGTTGCCAAAACAAGGAAAAAAAAAAGAAAAAAAAAACAAAGAGAGAGAGAGAGAGAGAGGTGGGAGCGTGGAACTAACCATTGCACATAGACCTCGAAATGCATCTTCTTTTTCAAAATCATCCCGTATCCTGAATTACATGAGGGACAATGTTCTGTCAGGAAACAAAAATCAAACCACCCAAAACTCAAACCAAATTATTTTGCATCAATCATATCTTACATTTTTTTTATAGCAAAAGCAGGAACGGTAATGGAAGCAGAATAGGAAGAATGAACAGGTAAAAAGTTTTATTACTCAACAGCAACCCAGTCAGGCAAGTCAAAAATATCCATACATATTGAATGGAATCAAAAAACATGCATTTAAAATGTCTAAAAAATGGTAAAAAAAAAAAAAAAAAAAAAAAAAAAAAAAAAAAAAAAGCTTGCTAGCTATATATTTCGAGATAATATTTAATAACTAAAAGCCATCAAAGGATCACAATATTGCTAAGGCCACGCCATCTCCAAATTCTAGGTTAAATTAATCTCATTAATTAATATTAGTTAATTAAATTTATTGCATTAAGGTAATTGAAGTTTTTATATTTAATATCTAACGAAGTTATTATCTACTTGGCTTAGTAAACTACTAATTAATAAATAGTAAAAATGTTTAATTCGATTAAACATGATTTAATTAGTCTAAGGGTGATAAAAAATAATATAATAAGATGTCCCAATCATATAAACTCTTAAATTTTGAAATAAGTAGCCAAACAGTTTACCTGTATTTAAGACCTATCATACAAAACAATTTTTAGGATTTAAATTTAGATTTACAAAATTTACGTAATCTGACTAGAAGCCAAATAACCCCTTAAATTCTCTTGACTATTCTCAGGCTGCCTAATATATGGATTATGGTGTTTTGTTAGGTTGCAAATGAAAACTTCTGTTGTGATTTTTACAAAGACTGCATATTACAACAACAACAACAACAACAAAGCCTTAATCCCCCCACGTGGGGTCAGCTACATGAATCATTTTTCTCCGTTGAGTCCTATTTAGTGTCATATTTTCATTTAGTTCTAGTAATTGAAGTTTACCAAAAGGGAACAGAGATGGGAGGAACTGAGAGATAGACCACAGATGCCAAGAAAGAGACGGGAAAAACCGGGAGATAGATCGCAAAGGCCAATAAGGAGATGAGGAAGCAAGAAGAGAAGAGAAAGCAAGTGATCCCAGAAGGCGAAAGATCGCAGACGAACAGACCAAACACACGTTAGGGCAAAGGGCTGTTCGCGAAAATGGAGGGTAGTGCCATATTTTAGTAATTACAAACCGCCAGCCACGGCCCCGTTTTAGGAAAAACGCGGCTCACCGTGGCAAAAACATCAGCCCGAACACCTCCAAATTGCGGCAGGAGGCCGCGCCATGACAAAAATATCGGCCCAAATGGAGGCTATATCTACCCATCCTATTAATGCAACCACTATCTATTGAAAATGCCCTAGTTATCCTAGTTTATTTTCCACTACCTTGTCTTTCTAAAATTTACATTTGACTCTCCAAGGTGCTCTTTTATCACATGCCACACTTGAGACACTTAGTTTAAATATAACATATTAATCCTAGAAGTTATATTATTATTTATATCATCATTTTTTCATGTAATAGTTCCAATATGCATAAATTACCACATTTAAGTATCTTGACCTTCCAGTGATATTAACTTATTATAATTACATATGCATTAAATATGTTTATCATACATTCAATAATCATTATGCAAATCCTAAGCACATATATCTTCAAGACATTTCCTTCCATTATTTCATCTTTCTAATTATTGTTGTAAAATTCTAGCATAATCAGAACTTTGTCATCTACAAATAAAAATCAGGCTATCATTTTTAAGTACCATAACCATCACAGGAAAAATACATATTTTATTCTAAAACTTCACTTAATATTATTTTTTATTAAGAATACTCTAATCAATAGAAATTATTTAAAATGCTACTCCACACAACGTGATACTTATCTTTAAAAACTTAAATGTATAATACATAGAAACCATTTTAAAGTGCAAAGCAAATAGAATCTTGTAATTCTCAACCATACCTTCCAAAAAAGGTTGATATTAAATTAATTAAAACATGTCTAGTAAATGCTTGGTAAAAAAAATAACCATCAAAATGGATCTTCCTAATATAAAATTAATTGATTTCTCCAATGCAACGTAATTCTTCTAAGCACATGCATTACTAAGCTCGCCTAAAACTTAATTTTATAACTCCTAAATTTGATTCTCTTATAATTACCACAATTTTCAAAATATCTATTTTTTAATACTATATAAAATGATTCTTCTCTGATTATTTTCCAGCAGCCTAACTTTTTTATCGTATTGTAATAAAGTGTTAACCAAATATAACCAAAATACTCTTAACTCCCAAAATTTTAAGATGTGGCTCATTGGTACAAAATTTTTTATCTTTACGCATATTTAACATTAAATCAGCTTCAAATTCTTTTATTAATATAGCATATGTGATTTAATTACGCTTCTGCTTTTAAAAAACTAACAAAAATTCCATTAAACAATTTTTTAATATAGTAATTTCATCTTTCCTTGATATTTTCGTCTTAAACTACGATTTCATTGGCTCTCGTTTATTACTTCTAATTTTATCAATAAAAAAAACAAGCCTTTATCCAACTAAGTGGGGTCAGTTACATGAATATTTTTTTCTCAATTGTGTCCTATTGAGTGTCATAGTTTCATTTAATTCTAATAGATTAAAATCATTTTTTTATACAATATGTCCAATTCTTTTTAGGTCAACCTCGATGTTTCTTAACATAAATCAAATCTAAAACATTTACTATCCTAACCGAATCATCAGATGGTCGACGTTTAATGTGACCAAACATTCTAAGACGACTCTCTCTAATCTTGTTCGCCGCTACACCAACACTATCACGGATATATTCGTTTCGCATTAAATGGTTTGTTTCTGCTTCGATGTGACAGGGCCTTGATCCACCAAGAGGCTGGATCAGCCGACCCTTCAATAGGCAAGAACTGCCGCCA